CCAAGACAATTCCTAGAAGCCTAGCACTCAGACAAATCAGCCATCAATAGATACACAAAGATATGCAGCATCTATATACCATTAAAAAGAGACAATAAAAATGAAACAAAAAAGACCAAAACAATTCCCCACCAGAAATCAACACCCAGTTGAACAGACATTAACACCACGATCAATACTAGACCAACAATCAAAAAACAAACAATATTCAAATCAAAAATCTACCAACTCAGACCAAGAAGCTAACCGTAAACAGTCTAATCAAGCAACCATCAAAACCGCTCCCACCAACGCTGATAGGGCAAACCATTAGTATATAAAATGAGAGCAAATCCCTATCAGCACTGATTATGTTATCTAGTTTAATCATAAAACCTCTCCAAGAAAACAATCAAGCATCAAGTTCAAGCTATAAATATTACCCTCTATTGGTATAATTATAACTATGTAACAGCCAATGCATTTGTAAATAAAATATTCTAAACATACAATTCATATTTTTCTTTTTCTTTTTGCTAGTCTATCGGTAAAGATAATATTACTTACAATATTAATATTATTATTAAGACAAGTGTAAAAATTAAGACTGAGTTAAAAAGTCTAAAAACTGGCAGGACCAAACATTAACACTTTTGTTAACATTTAAGTATTTCACAGAAGATAGATAGATACTACTATGATAATTATGTTAAGATAATGCAAAGTCAATGGTTTATATATTTGAATCAGAAAGTAAGTACAGGTCAGGATCCGCATTGTGACATTATCGCAAACTTGTCAGCACATTTTTTCATCACAGGAACACTTATGTATATGCTACTAAAACTCTTGTATCTATAACCTTTAACTGAGTGAAATGATGCATCACACATTCACATCTCCAAGTATCTCCCTGGATTATTATTTTCCAGTACATTAGAAGCTCTGCCACTGTTGAACGCATTGATGAATTTGGTAAGGAAATATTTCTGATATCTTGGATATATAATTGATCTTAAAATCTTCATATTGGGGATACAGCCAAGAACATATGTATTTTAACATACATATTTCAAGAGCTTCATTTACAATTCTGTTTAAATCAATCTCAAATACAGTAACAGCAGGAAAAAAAACCATATGATTTTATAGCTCAATTACTTAGTTGGATCTACAACACACCCGCATTTGTCACCAACTTTTATAACCAATTCTCCAAAGTAAACTGTATGAAATCATGTATTACTTGTTTCACCCAGAGCTTCAGGCATTTTTTCTCCTATTGAGAGGCCTACATGGCCTGACACTTCAAAGGCTTCCGTAGGCTTTCATGATTTCAGGAAAGAAGGCCTAGTGTGACAGGAAGCTGTGTCAGATAGGTTGCATGGGCCCCTCAAAAGCAGGAGAAAATGCCACAAGGTAAGCAGCGCATGGCAACAGATCCTCAGAAGCACTGAATGAAGGGAGCAACTGTGCAGACTGCCAGGCTCACGCGTATTGAAGAATGGTGCAAAGTATCATTTCTGAGTAGCAGCAGCGGTGCTAGGACTGACATTGAGGTGGTGGAAACTGGCTGAGATTGCTGAAGGCCCCAGGCCGCGCAAGTTTTTGTCATGTGGCTATAAGGACACTGAAAAGTTTGTAACTTCCCTTCATTCAGCAGCATAATTTCAAATAGCTAAATGAATGGTCGTTAAATAAGGATAACCTACATTGTCACAGGATGTAAGTAAAGCTGCCTTTTGCAATTGACTGATCATGATTTTGTCAATGCCAGTGGTGCTCCAGATAGCTTTGCCTAAGATACCTACTGTTATTGGCACTACCTTTGCTTTTTTTGCCACAAACATTCTATGTTAGTTTTATCTGTAAATCTTTGCGTTTTGTCATTTTTTCTGGTTCTTTTTCTATTCTGCTGTCTACAGGTATTGCAGCATCCACTATAAAGATACTTTTTTTTCTCTTATCCACAGTTTTAAGGTGTTATGTGGCAGATGCTTGTCTGTTAGAATTCTAAAGTCCCAGAGCACTTTAGCTTCTTTATTTTCTATTACTTGGTCTATTTTGTGGTTCCACCAGTGCTTGTTTGGAGGAAAATGGGTATTTCTTGAAGATGTTCTAATACACCATTCTTGCTACTGTGCCCTGATGTTGTTTATAATCAGTCTGTGCAATCTTCCTGCATTAGCTAAGTACACTGGTGGCCCACTGTTTCTACAACATCTTTGCAGAGATAGTATTTTCTGTCTGTTACTATCTTCTCAATTCTGGCTTTATATGTATTTGTTCTGTTGATGGTGAGGGTGATCCTTTTGTCCAACCCAAATTCCAGCGCAATATCTTGGCTGTAAACATACAGCTTTGAGGAATGACTCTATTTCAGATGGTGTTTTTCCATACACCTTCAGATCATCTATGTAAAGAGGATAGGGCAGCCTGGCAGATATTGTTGATGCTGATAGTAGCTGTGACGTTACTTGTCCTGTATTGAATCACATGGTCTCTCTAGTTCAATATATGGACTTCCCTTTGAGATTCCAGCTGTTCATCAGAAGCTTTTGGAGGTGATATTAAAAATCCAACCTTTTCCAGCCTAGATTTACCTCCTTTTCTTTTTTTTAAAAGGGACCAACCCTTCTCTTTCCAACAAAAGGAATTGAGATCATCAGACTCTTCATGTCACCAGTGCCATGCCCTGCTAACCGCTGTGCATTTTGTCCAAGAGGAGCAAATGTACACTGGATATATTATGTGTTCAAGAAGAGTGAATGTGTACTGGGAATGTTGTGTGTTCTGCTCACACAAAAACTAGCTTTAAGCATCTATATTTAAGATCAAATGAACTTCAACCATACTATATAAAATTGTTATAGTAAATCTGATTCTTTTAAAAGTCTGGAAGAGTGATTTCCAATTAGAACTTGATTAATTATAGTAGAATTCTTTATGTTATCAGTTCCTTTTAGATTTTAGTGCTAATCAAGAATTAATCATGAAAATAATCCATAAACTGAATTACATGTCACTACAATGATTTATATAAATTGTAATTCTTCTAAATAATGTTTGGGTTTGCATACAAATTGGTACATTTTACCAACTTTCACAGTAATGCTCAAACCCAAATAGAAACATTGAAATAGATATTTAAAATATTTGTTCTTCATGTATTGTCAATTTTTTTGCTCATGTTTTTTCTCCAGGTTTATTCTTAAGTTTTTGCCCTTCGATTTTTAGTTTGTTCAGTATAAACACCAGGGGTGGGTTTCTACCAGTTCGCATCTATTTGCTAGAACAGGTTGATAACATTCTAAGCAATTCGGAGAACCGGTTGTTAGAAGAAATTACTGGCCTAATCCTGTAAAGAAGGCAGGAAGGAAACATTCTGGTGTTGCTTACAGAAACTGCCTTTCCGTTAACCCTTATTACATTCTTGGCAGGATTAGACTTCCTGTCTCAGGAACTTCTCTGGAGTTCTTTCTCCCTCCTTTCCTGGTACTTTGCTTGTGTGGAGTGACCATTCAAAGTTACAATGGCACTGAAAAAAGTGACTTATGACCATTTTTCACACTTACAACTGTTGCAGCATATCCACAGTCATGAGAGGCCAGGCGAAGAGATGTGTGCCTCGATGTGAGTGATATTGAGTTGGCCAATAACATCACCACCAAGCCACGTCCACCCAGTCACATGACCATCAAGTCACACCCAACTAAGCCACACCCACAGAACCAGTTGTTAAAAAATTTGAATCCCACACCTGATAAACACCAATCCTAACTAATTAGTTCATTTGCCAAATTGTTAATAATTTGCAAGATTTTTTAAAAATAAAGCAAATGAATACAGTTGAATTTTCCTATTGGCAAATTATTATATGATTCAGTTGATAAAAGTTCAACTTTTGTGTAGAACAGATACCCCCCCCCCCCAAAAAAAAATATTGAAGAATGTGTTCACAGTGGAAATGAGATTCCAGGGAGAGTAAGTCAAATGTAGCAACAAATCTATATGATGAAGCACTCATGTTTAACAACTAGCAATCTACAAAAAATTTAATATCTTCATTAGCCCAAAGACATATAATTATTTCATGACACTCAAAAATAAGACAAAATCAATGCAGATCATCAAACAAAGCAAATCTCTGAATTAAGATAACATCTTTTTTGTCAAATTGCTTTCACCAGTCTATTCAAACTCAAATTCCATACTTTGGCATCTGGATTAATGAGCAGCAATTATTTCAAACCGAAACAAATGCTCACCAAAAGGACCAGACTGTTTCCACATTACTTCCAGAGCATTATCATCAGCATTGATCTCCTTCTGTATTAACCACAGCAGAGCACCAGCACATTTAAGTTCCCAACCATCACAAGTTACCACCGTACATTTCTTCCAACCAATCCAAACCCACCCTCAAGTTAAGTTTCTGTTTACTTATTCAATATCTGAGCCAAATGATCTTAAGCCATCATGTTGCTCAGTGTATAGACCTCAACCTCCCTGCTCTGAACAGATTTCAAAGCAGAGTATTGGGTGGAAAACCTGCAAAGATACTTTTCCTGTCACTCATTCTTGCAAAAAAAATACTGTCTTGGTCAAGGCCAAACCCGGAGAACAAAAGCAGCCAGATAGATTAAAGCCTGAAATGGAGAGACCCTAAATAACAACCTTACTCTGGGGGTGATTAATTCTGACCCCGGGAAGAATTGCAACCAGAGAGGTGGGTTTTTTTTTCCCCCTTCCGCAGCACTTCGTCTTTCGAGGACTCGCCCAACCTGGATTCCTTCATCCAAAGGGGAATTACCAGCATTCCCACGAGAGCAAGTGGCCAGAAGGACTGACCGCCAAGCGCTCAAAAGGGCAGAGAGAGAGAGAGAGAGAGAGGAGGAACGGGGATGAATGGGCGGCGAGTCTTCAGAGGGTAAATCCGAGAAGCTGGGGGTGGGGGGAAACAACCGGGGGACCCCACAGAGACAGACAAGGCGGCCGGCTATACAATGAGGGGCGCTTACCTTCCTTGCCCCCCCGCCGCCCCCGTCGCTCCGAGGCCCTCCTTGCTCTTAGGCAGGCTGGTAAGGTCAGCCCTCCCGCTCCCTGGGGCGAAAACGAGGAGGAAGTAAGTAAACCTGGCTTTCGCTTCCCGGCGGGCGCCTTTCAAACCCTCCCCGCCCCTCTCTTCAGGAGGAGCGGCGGCGGGGAGCGACTGGCTGAGGAGGAGAAGCGACCGGGGCTGCGTCTGCTGTGGTGGGGGGAACCAAGCTCACAGGCACCAGAAAGAGGAGCTGGAGGCGCTGGCGCCTCAACTCCCGCTGGTGCTGCAGGAGGCACTGCGGGCAGAGCAGGAAGTGCAGGCGAGGGAGCTGCCGCTACCGCCACCCAGGTAGCCCCCAGACAAGAGCTCCTTCTCTCGCCGCGCCGAGGAGGAAAGCGGGCAGAAGGTCCTGGGCGGGAGGGCTCGGCCTCATCTGCTCGCAGCCGCGGTGTGTGTGTGTGTGTGAGAGAGAGAGAGAGAGAGAGAGAAGGAGGAACGAGACCCCCTCAATATCTGCTTGCTCTTGCTTTGTGCTCCTTGGAGATTAAGGGCGGAGGGGGGAAGGGAAGGAAAGACGCCTCCCCGAGACAAACTTTGCAAGGGAGACGCTGCCTGCTTCCGTCGGCCCTCAATAGCCTCTTTCTTGCAATGTGATTCCACCACCCAGAGCAGTGTTTGTCAACCGCGTGCACTTTTAAGGTGTTGTGGATGTCAATTCCCAGAGGACCCTAACCCTCTTGAAGGTCATAAGGTGGAGAAACGGGGCCCTAGATGAAAGTAGCCCTTCCTTCGAGCAAGAGTGAAACAAGGAAATGAAAACAACCTGCAAAAAAAAAAAAAATTGTGATCACTGTCACTTCTGCAATGTAATGATGAACCAAAGCTAACACACACACACACTTTCCTTTAAGCTCCTTCAAACACAATGGGGATTTTGAAATGTATACAGCGTAATTGCCAACCTAGGTATATTCTCTAGAGATAAAGCCTCACCAAACAGTAAGATTTACTTTTAAGGCAACAGGGGTGCAAATATAGTACAATACAAATGGCACATGCTATTTGCTGTTGGTTGTTCTTTGCTCCAGAGTTGGTTTAGAGAACAGTGCATGTACTGTAATGATGGATTCTGCTATCACCATTGCTTTAATAATGAGTTATTACTATTAATGGTGGTAATCTACTATTCGCCTACCGTACATGGAGCAGGAAAACAGTTCCGCCTAGCTGTTTGCTTTCAGTTAAGATAAGAGCTTCAAATCTGTCACCAAGAGGTCCCATCGCTCCTTGTCCCTAGATGGTAGGGAGGAAAGTTAGTATGAAAGCTTTGCTCCACCTTTGGGAACTCTTTTGTTCCAACTAAGAGGTTTCCCTTTTTCAAGCTGCTTAGTTGAAAATTAGGAAATCAATAAGATTCTGTCAGGAAAGGACTTGGGTGGTGGGGAGACAGTCAGGTTCAACTCCTGTTTTGTAACATTTAAAGACACAGGAGACTTACTGTTTTCAACAATTCATTCCCTAATATTGTTCAGTTGCCAGGGATGTTGGAAGCTGTAGTTCAGCAATACCTGGGCAAAGGCTTCCCATCTACGTCTTTATTATTGGGTAGGAACCTAGGCAGTGGTGGGATTCATAAATGTTTACTACTGGTTCTGTGGGCATGGCTTGGTGGGCGTGACAGCGGAAGGATACTGCAAAATCTCCATTCTCACTCCAGTCCTGGGGGAAGGTTACTGCAAAATCCCATTCCCTCCCCATCCCACTAACCTGCTTTCCAGCTCTGTTCTCCTGTGCAGAGCAACAAAAGAAGACCCAGCCAATCAGCTGGGACTCGGGAGGCAGAGAATAGATGGGGGTGGGGCTAGTCTGAGATGGTATTTGCTGGTTCTTCAAACTACTCAAAAGTTCCATTCCTGGTTCTCTAGAACTGGTCAGAACTTGCTGAATACCACCTCTGAACCTAGGGATTTTTTAAATTTTTCTTCTTTTCCAAAACAAAAGGGCTGTTTTTTTCTGTAAGTGTAGACTGTTCCCCGCTGATGAACGGAAGTTTTCTCCATCTGTCTCCTTGGTTTCAGAAAATCATGTTGTTGAGAACTTTACTAAGCCTCCCCATTGCAATTTTTTCTTAATTAACTGTTCCTAATCACTACAGTTGTGATGTCCCTAAGGCAATGCTTTTCAACCTTGGCAACTTTAAAATATGTGGACTTCAACTCCCAGAATTCCCGAGGCACATCTTAAAGGCTTCCAAGGTTGAAGAACACTGCTCTAAGTGGATCTAATGGATGTTAAAGTCAAATAGCTTGCAAATGACCTTGGCAGTGCCAGAATAAGTGAGAAAATACTGCAGAGTAGCAGATGATGATTTAAGTCATATATCTGGGGACAAGGAAGTCAATGTCATCAGGAGATAGCAAAATAATAATAATACCAGGACAAAATGTTTTTTTATCAGGGCAACCTGGTCTACCCAAATATGGAACTTGGCATACTGCTTCCATTTTATTGCTAGGACATTGTTATGGTTATATTTAGGAGTTGGGAAAAGTCTTGTTTCCACTAAAGCTCCAATCAGAATAAAGAAACAACATCCAACTTTATAAGTTCCTGGTTAATATGTGATCAACTATGCATCTAGATGGCAGAAAATCAGGAGTTGGAGAAATCTCTAGGGCTAGACAGTCTTCTGAACCTTAGCATAAATGGCTCACTTTATAGAGAGAAGGTTGGTCTACCGGTGTAATAAAAATGCCATAAGGAGGTTATTCACAGAACAGCTTGAACAATTAAAATTAAATACATGATTGTAAAATACAGGTCCTAATTGGCATTTATAAAATGCAGGGATCACATAATGCCTGGACTACTGGTTGCCTTCTGGGCACAATACAAGATACTAATATTGATTTTTAAAGCATTTAACAGCTTGAACCCCAAATCTAATTCTTAAGAGAATCTGCCTCTTCTACTCTGAACCATTCTATTGAGAGCAGCCCTTCTCAAAGTGTAGTTTGATTATCCCTGGGGGTCCCTGAGATATTTTCGCAGGATCTGCGAAGCCAATTAAATACGTATTTTAAAATTTCTTAGTTTTAATTTCTAGTACAGTGAATATACTAGATATAGCCCACGCACAGTGAACTAAAGCTCTTTGGGGTCCTCAATTATTTTGGGAATGTAAAGAAGTCTTGAGGCCAAATATTTGAAAATTACTAATTTAGATCATCAAGACTGAGCATTTTGAGGCTTCCTCGCCCACAGAAGCTTGACTTTATCTGTATAGTTTCTAGGATGTGAAATGCACTCCCTAGGGGGGATTCATTTGATTCAATGCTCAATATTTAGGATGATGTTAATATATATATATTCCTCCATGTGTTTGTATTAGAATTTTTAATTTTAATTCTTATTTTAATGGTTGCTGTAGTTACATGTTTTAAATCACTGCTGGCCTCCTTGACTGTTGAAGAAACAAAGTAGTGCAGTAGAAATTCAGTAAATAAATAAATTAAGAATGTGTCATTAGTTCCCTTTGGAATGACTGCCAGTATTTGCAGAATCAAACCGCTGAGTTCAGTAATCAAATGAAATTCTGTGCTTCTAATGATTTTTACAGTAACTTGCACGAGAACAAGAAAGTAGTGTAGCTCTGAAAGCTCTCCCACTTCAGTGTGTTCAACGTTGCAATGCATGTACAAAAAAAAGAGAGCATGGATTGCATTATGACTCCACAGCAGTGGTGAAACTAGCACTGCATTTGTCAGTCTATCCTCCTCCCCCCCTCCACTAGCTCATGGATATTGCTGCTTGCTCCGAGGACAGAAATTAATTGCAAAACTATAAATTATATATGTTGGATACAAACCACACTTGGGGGGGGGGGGAATAACATGATGATGTAAACCCCAGACATTCATACTTGAAATTGGACACAATTATGTTAAGTCACATGGTTTGTATTGCAATATAACAATATACGTTTCATCATTTACATCCCCTTGCTTTCTTACCCACAGATCCCTATAATTGCTACCGACTTAGAAAATTCATTCTTGTTGCCAACAGTGCCTGCAATCCTTCTAGAATTCATACTCTCAATCTTGCTGAGCTTTTTTTAAAAAAGTTGTAATACTGCAATTAAAAAAACCTGTTACACAACTGGATTCCAAATATTAGTACATTTATGATTTTGTTTTATGTGTACTTTGGCAAGGTGTAACACATTCTAACACAGGTTGTGACACCAGGGAAAATTACAGCTAGGGCACTGTTAATCGACTCTGACTAAAACAAAACCAAACCTGTGTCAATGCATTCAGACTTGTATGAATCTGAAAATCCATAGTTGTGGCAGTCCCATCAATGTCGCTACTTCAGTGAGACAGACGTAAACGGGAGTGTGGAAAATATGGCCCATTCTCTCATGCAACGAGACCAAGGGAATGGATACAGTTTAAAACACTGTACGAATCTCATCGTTTAATCATGGTTTGTTAACTAAACTATAATTGAGTATATTCACATAGCACATTAAACCATAAACAAGCCTTGGTGTCCTCCAAGAATATTGAATTAAAACTCCCATCAACCAAGATATTTGCTGTGCTGGCTGATGAGACATGCAGCCTAATACATCTGGAGCAGCGGTCGCCAACCGGTGGGCCGTGAGAAAATTTTGGTGGGCCACAGAGAAATCTCACCCCAGAGCACCCCCCCAAAGCAATTAATCCAGGCTGCTGCGCATCCCACATGACCCACGGGAACCCTCCCCGCCCACTGACTCCTTACCTGGCAAACTTGCCTGCTAAATTGCCATTTTTCCTTTTTCCGATCATCATCTGTTCTGCTGTGCCAGGAGATTTAGATTAGCTAGGAAGCAGAAAATGGTTGGATTTCTTGCTTTCTAGCTAGTCTTTAGATCTTCGGCTCTGCTTTTAAGCACAGCCGAACCTCCCTTAGGACTGAAGGTTCTATTATTCAGTGCAGACTCACGGCAAGCAAATTTGAGAGACTGAGCTAGCTGATGGCAGATAGATAGATCACGGAATGATTCTGTGAGCAACTCAATCTGCCTACCTGCTTTGCCTGATTTTGGGTAAAAGTTGCTCTTTTTTTAATAAAAAATATAAATATTTATAATATTTACATACAAGCCATGCCCAGCCAGTCACATGACCACCAAGGCACACCCCCACAAATTAGGCCATGCCCATAGAACCAGTTAGTGGTTCCTGTGATTTAAAATTATGATTTTGGTGGTCCCTGTGGTCCAAAAGGTTGGCGACCCCTGATCTGGAGG